CCGGCGGCCCGAGGCGGGCGCCGCGACGCTCGCCCTCCGGCTGCCGGGGTTCGTGTCCCCATGCGTCGTCCCCCGCGACTCACCCCAGCACCCCCCCCCCCGGAGCCTGTCTTTAGCTGCACAGCGTCTGGGGGGCAGGGAGGGAGGGGCCGCGTAAAATAGAGGTCGCCACTGCAGCCCTGCGATTGCCGCCTTGTCCACCCCCGGGGTATTTTTGATCCTCTGCAATACATGTCAGCCAAGCTGTGGGGCTTCACTTGCACAGTCGTGGTCACCATCTTGACTTTTCTGCCCCCCACCCTGCAGACACCCCTGTTTAGATGTTCTGAGCTTAAGGAGGCCTCTTTGTCTTCTTCCAATGGAAGTCTTGCTGGGCCAACAGTTGATGGTGTCTCTGGGAGAGGCACCTGGCAGCTCCGATTGACTCTGAGACCTGCTGCAGCCCCCTCCCCCATGCCTGCCCCTCCCCTTTGGGGCTCTTAACTGGGGCTGAAGGCGACATGGCTGCTGCAGGGGCACCTGATCACAGAACATCTGCCCACAACCATTACGGGGCACCACATGGGCACGGGGTCAGCATTCTTATGGGCAAGCACCGCAGCTGCTTTGAAGCCCGCGCCAAGGAGTCTTCTGAAAGATGGCTGGACTGTAAGAAAAAGGGCTCTGCTCGGTGTCGCCTGGGAAAGGCACAGCTAGCGGTGTGTTTGTGGTTATGACTTACGGTTTTGTACTGTTTTTGCTGATCAGGGTTTTGTGTGGTCATACATTTGACTTTTCCCTACACCAGTGCAATTTTGAGTACTCCAGGGGCTACTTCCTAGTGCCGTCGGCCACCAGTCAGGACCGGCGCTGCCATTCCTGTGCTGGGACAGGTGGGAGCTGGCGTGAAACCAGCAAACGTGCTGCCCGGTTCCCCTTTTTTCCTGCGTGACGGGTCACAGAGCAGGGAAGACTGCTGACTGAGGCACCAGGAGACCCTCATCCACAGCTCTCCTCCACTCCACCAACCTAGCCATTTCCAGACACGGGTTCAGTGCCCTTCGGGAAGAACGCTCCACCTGTGTTCAGAAGGTGGACGTTGGATGCAACGGGAAAAAATTGCTTTGGAGAAGAGGCCCACAGGGACATTGGGAGCATCAAAGACACTGTCTCGCAGGAATGTCCGGGGATGGTGTCAAAAAAGTCAAGATGGCAGCTGCAACCGTGTGATAATCCCCCCTTTTACAAGTGTCTCATATGTGATATGTGCAATAAAAGAGGCAGGGCTTGATCCCATGGTTGCAACCACTGTGATTTTTGGCAACTGCCCACACCCCGACAGCTGCCCTCCCACCTTGGCTTCTGCAGGAGTTGCCACTCAGCTGCCCACAAATGGGGGGATTAAGGATGTGTTTTACCTCTGCAACAGGGGAGTAGTGGTGAGGAGAGGAATATTTTCTCCGCAGGGGTCAGATTTACAAAACTGAAGGTCTTAAATTAGCAAGCTAAACAATTAAGAGGTTGTAGCCTCTTCGGTTTGTTGTAGCTGCTCCGTCCGACAAGTCCCAGCAATGTGGTTTCGACATGATCGATTGCGCAGGAGGCCCCATATCACTCCCCGAGCCAGAGTCAAGCCTCTAACTGTTTGTTTCCCCCACCCACACACATTGCTCCGAGCCATGAACAGACAGCAGTGCTGACACACGGTCTGCATCTCCAATGCAGCGGGATTGCAAAACGCAGCGGCGAACCCGGAGGGCCATGAGTCCATATGCTTCGAGGGGGTACTCAGCCCATCTGCCTGTTTTTGACGCACCTTCTTTGCCAATCCACACTTGCACGCAGAGTGTGAACAAACACACACTTGCCTTTGTTCAGATACTTCACACGCTTTTCTTTTTTCTAGCACTTGCACTTATTTTACATATACACGCATTCCTGTGTGCGCGAACAAAGCATGCTTTCTGGGTGGGAATGGTGATGGAGCCAGCCACATTCCTGCACACCGGGGTCCACATCTTTTCACTCGTGCACGTTCGCTGCTCGTGTGCCAAGGGAGGGGATGCTAGGAGCGGCCTGCGTCCTTCCCCTCCCATCCCACTGAGGCATCTACTTGGTTCCAAGGCCGGGACGGAGCCAAAACCTACAAGCAGAAAAGGGAAAAATGGCTGTCCAGACAACCTTTAGTGACCTGTTGCACAGGGTGATTTATGGTGCAAGTATGCAGAATGTGTCGCACGCAGCTTTCTGCAAGCTGCCGGCCCTCCAGGATTCCCAGCTCAGTGCTAGCTCAGAATTCTGGGAATTCAGTCCCTTGAGGGCCGGGGGTTGGGGAAGGCTGCTGACGTGGGTACAAGCCACTGCCCCTTTAGACTGCATCCAGACCACGTGGTAATCCTTGAACCCAGGGGGATGAAGCACATGGCGCCCAAACAGATAAATTGTGAAAGGGTAAGGTGACTCCTGGGTTCACAGAAGACCTGGGCTAGATTCGCCGAACCATTTGAAGCACAAGCTGTCCGACTTTGGTTGACCTAGACTAATGGTTTTTTATATTTGTGCCATTTATTTATATGGGTGGTGTGTGTTTCTCACTGAACACCCTTCACCCACATCCGCGCGCA